ATGCAAAAGAATGAAATTAGACCTTATCTTATACCATACACAAAAATCAACTCAAACTGTATATAAGAGAAATAAATACAAGGTCTAAAACCATAAAACTGCTAGAATATAGAGTAAAAGCTCCTTTACATTATTAATTTTTTGATATGACAAACAAAAGCACAAGTAACAGAAGCAAAAACAAACAAGTGGGACTATATCAAGCTAAAAATCTTCGATAAAAGAAAGGAAACAATCAACAAAATGGATAGGTAGCCTACATATTAGCAAAAAGTATTTGCAAATATATATCTGATGGGAGAGTTCAATATCCAAAATATATAAGGAATGCACATAACTCAATAGCAAAAAATAAAAAATAAAAAAATAAACCCTGATTAAATATTGGCAATGGAGGGCTAAGTTTGTGGCTCAATGGTAGAGCACTTGCTTAGCATATGCAAGGCACTGGGTTTGATCCTCAGCACCATATAAAAAAATAAATATAATAAAGATATTATGTCCAACTACAACAAAACATATTTTAAAAAATACTGGCAATGAATTTGAATCTCTTTTCTCAGAAGAAGGTATAAAAATAGTCAACAGAAGCTGGGTGTTATGGTGAGACCTGTAATCCTAGCATATTGGGAGGCTGAAATAGTAGGATCACAAGTACAAAGCCAGCCTCAGCAACCTAGTGAGCACCTAAGCAAGTTAGTGAGACCCTGTCTCAAAATAAAATATAAAAAGGGCTAGGGATGTCACTTAGTGCTTAAACGCCCCTGGGTTCAAGTGCCAGTACAGGTACATGAAAAGAATTCAACATCATCAGGAAAAGGCCAATCAAAACCACAATGAAATATCACGTCACATTTTTTAGAATGAATATTGCCAAAAAAGAGAAGAGATAATGTGTGCTTTCCAGGGTATAGAAAGAAAAATGAATAATTAGATTTCCACAAAATTAAAAGCCTATGGTTTTCAAAGACACTGTTGAGAAAATGAAAAGCTAAGTCTTGTACAGTGATGCATGCCTATAATCTCAGTGACTGGGGAGGCTGAGGCAGGAGAATTCAAGTTTGAAGCCAACTTAGGCAACTTAGATTGTGTCCCAAAATAAACAAAATAAATACAAAGGGTTGGAGATATGATTCAATGCTAAAAATGTTTCAGGGTTCAGTCCTCCGTACTGCAAATAAAATAAGAAAGAAAAAATGGAAGGCTATATCATAGACTTGGATAAAACCTTGCAAAAAACATATCTCTCAAAGGACTTATAAAAAGAATACATAAAGATCTCTCCAAACTAAGCAATAAGGAAACAACCTATTTAAAAATGGGCAAAAGACCTAAACATACACTTAACTGAAAATTTTATACAGATGGCAAATAAACACATAAAAATGTTCAACATCATTGTTCATTAGAAGATACAAATTAAAACATCTTTTAAAATGGCTAAAAGAAACATTACTGATGATGTCATGTGTTGATAACTATGTAGAGCAACTGAAACTCATATTAGTATAATATACAAATTTTCCAAAACTGTCATTTGGAAAACTGTCATTATCTTATAAAAGTTAAGGAAGCACCTACCATACAACCCAGCAATCTAACCCTAGGCAATTACCTCCCAAAAATCAGCGATGTAGGTTCTTATCTTCCCTTTGCAGTCAATCTGTGCTTCCACCCCTGACCCTGGTAAACAATGTTCTGCTTTTTCTTATCATAATTTTTTTTCTTTGTAGACTGTCATATAAATTAAATCATATAGTTGGATATTTTGTGTATAGCATTTTTCACTTAATATAATGTCTTTAATACATATGCCTTATATATGCCTGTTGTTGCATGTGTCAATAGTTGTGTCTTATAACTATTCACATGTTAATGGACATCTGGGTTCCCAGTTTTGAGCTGTTTTGAATAAAGTTGAAATGACTATTTCAGTACAAGATTTCTATGAGAACCTAGGTTCTCATAGAAGATAAGAAAATGCTTTCATTTTCCAGTACTGGGGCTTGAACCCAGGAGAGCTCTAGCACTGAGCTACATGTCCATCCCTTTAAATTTCTGATTTATTTATTTTGATTTTGAGACAGGATATCACTAAGTTGTGCAGACTGGCTTTGATCTTGTGGTCCTTCTGCCTCAGCCTCCCCAATAGATGGGCATACAAGTATGTGCCACCATGCCTGGCAAAGATAACTTTTATGGATTAATAAAAATTCATGCCTATAATCTCAGAAATTCAGGAGGCTGAGGAAGGATGATGTTGAATGCCAGCCTTGGCAACCTACTGAAACCCTATCTCAAAATTTAAAAAAATAATAAGAATAAAAAATAAAAAGGGCTGGGGAAGTGGCTCAGTAATAAATTGCCCCAGGATTCAACTCCCGGTATGTAAAAGAAATACTCTATATCTTGATTATAATGGTAGTTACACAACTATATAAAATAGTTTAAATTCATTGAAATATTTACTGCAAACTGGCAAATCTTATTGTATGTTAATCATTCCTAAATATTGTTGGCAAAAACAATATCCTAGAACTAATAAAAATGTAACTTTAAAAGGTAAAATAACACATTAAAAGGGCTAACATACCATTATTATGAAGATAACAATATAAAAAAACATTCTTTTAACGTGAAAATTGTTGAATTCAAATTCACAACATTAATAAATTTAAAGGTAAAAGCATGCAATTATTTCTGTAGATCAGCATTTTTTTAATCCTTCAGGAGTCATTTGGCAATTTGACAGCCTAGAGATTTTTTGGTTGTCACAACAGAGATGTCCAAGTGCTACTGGAATCCAGTGGGTAGAGTCCATAAATGCTGTTAAAATACCTTAAAATGCACAGGGCAGCCCCAAATTGAAAACCGTTGTTCTGTATTCTACTTTATTCACTCTATAGGATGACTGTGGTATCTATATGTTGCTATAACGTAATTATATCTACTCTGTTTCTTGCTACACAATACTACAAAATCAACATCCTCATGTTTCTTATCCCTCATGCTAGGGATAAATTTGTATGTTGCTTCTAGTTGTATGCCACCATACACAACACTGCCATGCAATCAATGGCCTTGTACATGTTGGCTCTGGAGCTCTGTAAGAACTTCTCTGGGATATAATTTAGGAATAGAACCACTAGGTGAACATACTTTATATACAAATAGAGATATGAAAAATTGTGCTCTATATGTGTAATAAGAATTGTAATGCATTCCGCTGTCATGTATTTAAAAAATAAAATCAATTAAAAATAAAATTAAATTAAAAAAAATAGAGCCACTAGGTCATAAACATGCTCAACTTTTATAAATACTACTCAGGTTCTTTCAGGAATGGCTAAACAAATTTATATACCATGTAGAATAGAGTTATATATAAGACCTTAGGATACTATTCTTAGAGAGACCCGGTTGAAAGTTTTGCCCTGGACTAGCATCTTGGAACTTGGATTTCAAGAGGGTTCCCTGCTCTATGATAAACATAGTTTACTACCTGGACACAGTTATATACACCTATGATCCAAGCTGCTAGATATAGGAAAGCTGAGATAACTTAGTAAAACCCTGTCTCAAAATAAAAAATAAAATAAAATAGGCTGGGGTTGTAGCTCAGTGGAAGAGTTCCCCTGATTTCAATCCCTAGTTAAAAAAAAAACAAAAAACAAAAAAACTCACTGTGCCTGTTCAAACATTGTGGTTTATGTTGAACAAGTGCTTTCCTTCTGAGAGTCTGAAATTTTGTATATGCTAGGCAGAGAGTGCCTATGTGACCAATAAAAGAGAAAAAATTTGGATATGAAGTGTCTAATAAATTTCCCTGATAGACATTTCACATGTTGTCACAACTCATTACTAAGGGATTTAAGTGCATCTTACCTGACTCCACTGGGGGAGGACTCCTAGAACCCTGTGTCTAGTTTCAGCTAGACTTAGTCCCCTGTATCTTTTCCTTTTGGTGATTTTTCTTTGAATCCATTCAGTATAATAAACATAGCATTGAATAAACTATATGCTAAGTCCTGTAAATCCCCCTGGCAAATCACTGAACATGAGTGTGATCTCAGGGACCACCTCAATGCACATCCCCATTAGCAAGGTAAGAAAGTTTCTAAAAGACTTATTTGTAATGGCACACTTTGTGTCATTTGAATTTTGCATCATATGTGTGCATTTCTTCTTTAAAAGTAAATATTTTATAAAAATGGGAAGAAGGGCTGTCAAAACAACCAGGTTATCTGTGAATGAGATCCAAACCATGTTAGAGAACCACAGAGGTCACATACAGAAACATCCCCATACTCTACAGGAGGCAAATAAAGCCCCAAGAGGACAGGGTACTTGTATAGAATTACCAAGACCATTATCATAGGCATAGATATCAAATCCTCAATGTCCTATTTCCTACTGTTCCTTCCTCTAGGCCCATAGCACCTTTTCTTGCACTTGTTGATTCTACTACTCTAGTGCTCTCACCTAAATGCCTTTCAGAGTCCTACTCTCTTGCTAACTCTGGCCACCTTTATTTCCCAAATCCTGGATTTACCATGTAATGAATATGTTGAGTTCCTCCCAAAACACTGACTCTCATGGAAACTGAACCCAACAAGAAAACAAAATAGAAGCTAAAGAAAAATCCTACTTATAACTATCTTGAAGTACAAGGAAAGGAGAGTGGAATTGAAAAGAAAGAGAATCCTAGGCCAAACCACAGTACCTTCTTAAACCCTCATATCCTTTTTAAAGACCAGGAATCAAAAGCTGGGCTAGAGAGGAACTTGTCCCTCACTACAGGATAAAGCAGATGAGTAGAACCAGACATGCTCCTTCTATTTCTTCCTAATGGTATTTCAAAAACCTCCCCAGGGTCGAGATATAGCTCAGTTATTAGAAGCACTTAGAGTGCTTGCCTTGCATGTACAAGGCCCTGAGTTCAATCCCCAGCACCACAAACAAACCAACAAAACACTTCCCCAAAGGGATAAGATACTTACATGCTCTAGGAAGCAGGGTCCTATCTCACTGAGGTGGGGGTCATCATTGTTGTACTGTTTCTCCAGGTCTCTCACGAAGCCCATCTGAAACCTGTAGATGTCTTCAATGTTCCCAAAGATTACCTTCAGTTGTTCATCACTGAACATGTCCCTTCTCTTCCGGCACTGCTTCAGGTAGCCCTGAAGACAAAGGAAAACTCCAAAATGAAGATGTCCACTACTCTCAGAAGGCTTCATTGCTTCCCAAACACTTGAGAGCATCACTTCAGCTCCATGAAGTAGGCAGAGAATAGTCATTTCCAATTTTCATATAAGGAAATTGAAGTTTAGAGAAGGAAGGATACTTCACTAGTAAGTGATTTCCGCAAAAGTCTTCAGAGTATAAAGACACCAGAGTGCAGGGTTTTCCCCACCATTCTTTATGATTGGGACCCCAACATCAAAGGGCCCCTTTCCAGAAGGTGGTTTTGCACAAACTTGTCTTAGTAGCTATTGGTTTAGCTGGATCCATTCACATCTCTTAAGTTTTATTCCTTATAAGACAAACCCAAATGTCTTAATAATATTGAGAATAATTTGGCAATGGAGGGCAAGTAGGAAAATTTCCATTAAGGGAATGTTAATAGACCAAACTAAACCATTTTTAAGGTGAATATCTCAGCTATTTAAGGTAGCTGGCCTGAAGAGATTATTTGGATGAGCTCAGCCCAAAAGCCCATGGGTGCCTGGGTATGGTATTTCTAAGAGGGTAAGTGTTAGGGCACATTGATAAATAAACACATGAATTAATACAGATAATCATGACAAAAAGAGAAGGGATCAGACGAGATTGGGCGCATTCAGGGTGGTATGGCCGTAGACATAGTAGAGGATAGGGATAGGAAAGGCAGTAGAATACAACAGACACTAGTATGGCAATATGTAAATCAGTGGATGTGTAACCAATGTGATTCTGCAATCTGCATACGGGGTAAAAATGGGAGTTCATAACCCACTTGAATCAAAGTGTGAAATATGATATGTCAAGAACTATGTAATGTTTTGAACAACCAAAAATAAAAATTTTTAAAAAAATTAATTGAAAAGATGTCCCTGTGTATTTTATATAAATCAAACTATTAAATGTCATTATGTTGTTAAAAAAAAAAGGAAAAGAGAAGGGATGAAAGGAATCTTGGTTTGGTAAATGAACACTGAGGCAATATAATGAGATCTGGGGCACACTATAAGTCAGGGAAATAGAAAAAAAACACAGCTGAGGGGCTGAGGTTGTGGCTCAGCGATAGAGCACTTGCCTAGCACATGTGAGGTGCTGGGTTTGATCCTCAGCACCACATAAATAAATAAATAAACAAACACATAAATAAATAAAGGTATTTTAAAAACACAGCTGAAATTGGGTTTTCCATTCTAAACCTACTTGTGTGGATTCTTTAACTGATGATTATGTCTTTATTAGAAATTGTTAGTAAATAAAAATGTTCTAGGTGAGAATGAATTATGCTCACTTGCTTTCATCTAAAAACTAAATGTAATTTTCTGAACACCTTCATTATGTACTGAGACCCTAATGCATGGAGTGTATTTAGTTTCTGATTTACCATATTTACCCTGCCTCCATCCTTACTTTGTCTTACTTTGTCTCCTTTAACACAGCTGCCAATGAGGTCATTTAAGAGTACTCCAGGACGATTCTCATCCCTGGTGTCAATTCCTTTACCCACCAGTTTCAAAATCTCATTTCTATTTCTCTTCTCATCCACCAAATTCATCCATTAATTTGTAAGTATACTTCAAGTTTTCAAATTAATAATCTGTGCCTGTTTTGACATCTATTTAACTGAAGTCTTCTACCTCATAGACTGGCATGCTCAAGATTTCCTGCATCCTTTCATATCCAGTGCTTGACCAGAAAGAAGAAGCTCTATAATTCCTATTTACCTTTCTGGCTCCACTCTCTTTACTAAACAATCTCCCAAAATTCTGCTTTCCTAGAAAGATTTCCTTGACTAATAGAGAATCAATAAACTGTAGCCCCTTCTTGCTTAATATGTAACTTCTAGGGCTTAATCTGTCTGGATTGGTCTGTGTGTCTGCCTCTGTGTGTATGTATTTTGTGTCACCCTACCACCTTTGATAGTGTCTTAGCCACAATGGATTAGGGAGAGCAGTGGGCATAATGTAACAACATTAAGCTGAGGGACAGAAGCTTCCTCAACTCTGCTCCCATTTTTTCTCCATAAGATAGGGCCAAGGATGAAAAACAAACTTTCAGTATGAGCAAATTAAAATGCTAATACCCCTTTAAATTTTGGGTTTTTGATAAACACAAAATTTTTGGCATATTTAGTAAATTTTTAGTATAAATTTCTCAGATTTAGCATATCACTTCTTGGTAAGCAGTTGGTAATGATAAGTGATTGCACGGAGTCCAGCCTAGACAGCTCCTTTGTTCCCTGGGAAGTCATTCATAAGGAAGGAACCAAACATCATAAAATCCCCAAAATGCAGCGAGAATGCTAGAATTCAATGTTATATTTCATATAACAGAAATATAAGGAAGAAAGTGATCTCTGGAAAAGAGGGTGGGAGAGAACATCAGTTCAGTTTCCTAAATTCTCCAAATATGCCATTCATTGCCATTATTAGGGAAATTATTTTCTATTAGATTATGTTTGCTGGGATTAAAGATGCATATTAGGAAAAATATGACTGTCCACAGGATGGTGGGAACCTAGAGTGTTTTATCAATTGTTGTTCTTAATGCTAGATTGTAAATATGTTACATGTAGCTGGATGGAATATGACATAACTATTAAAATTATTATGAAGACTATGTAGAAACATGAAAGAATAAACAATGGCATCATGTTAAAAAGCAGAACATAAATGTTAGATCCCTATGATTAGAACACTTCAAATATATATGTACATGTACACATTTGAAAGTGTTGAAAGGATTATGCAAACCAAAATTTTGTTCTATTTTGTGGGTATGACTGATTTTGGTACTATTTTTAAACTTCCTGTAATGCTTTTCTTAAATTGTCTTCATGATTAAACGTGAGAAAAAGTCTTTTCCAGAGAGTATAAAGAAAATACAGCTATAAGAAGGCTTCCTTGAATGCAATATTATCAATGAAGAGGGAAGGATTAAATGAATGCCTTATAAAAATTTCCTCCAGCACAAGGGTGTTTAAAACAAGTGACTTGCTGAAAGGTTTACAAACAATTTTTAGAAACTACATTTATCAAGGAATAAAGGATAGGATAAGAATATGTGAGTATTTGGAGCACCCCAAAAGGTTAACTTCAACCTCTATATCATCCAAATGTCTTGGCTTCTGGGAAAACAAAAAATGAAGAAATATGAACAGTTCACTGGATTCTTACCTTTATTTTTTATCCCCTTCCTTTGTTTGGCTTGATGACTATTGAAATTTCCACAGCAGTAATGAACAGAGATTTGGTTTAGGGACCTATCAGTATCTGTTGCTTCTCATTCACTCATTTTTGAAGGTATGTAAGTTTAAGATGAACTAGCCATGAAAAGTGACTGCCAAAAAACCCAAAACTTAATATCATTTTAAGTTATTGAAAAGAAAAAAATTAGATTGAGAGGCAAAAATGAGAAAGGTAACGGAAGGTAGTCACACCATTGCAGGACAGTTACAATCAATTCTGTGGGACCCTTCTCTCCAGTCCCTTTTCAAAGAAGCATCAATAAAACAGTGCACAGTCAGAAGGGAATAAGCAGGATCTAGAGGGACCTGAAAAGCAACACCATTAAAAATGGTGGGAGGAGTCAAGTATATTTGTCTTGTAAATGACTTAGGGGTCCTCTGAAGACCTATGAGAAGTGAGAGAGGGAAAAGAAGGGGTCCATGACTTTTCCTTTCAGGCATGTTTCAAACACTCTCTCTGACCCCTGTCTCAATGGCAAGAGTAAATAGGGGCTATAGAAATGGGAATGAACTAATTCAACAGTTGCTGTTTACTGAGCCTCACTTGTGTTCTGGGGGGTAATATGGGCATATAATAGAATCAAGACCACAGAGTAGTTAAGAATTATGTGGGTGTTATCAAATCAGTCACAATTGGCATGAATCAGCACTGGCATTGCTATGGTAACAGCCAAGGAATGTTGCTCATCCATTTCACTTTGTTCTTAAACCCACAAGGGCTAATGTAGAATTCTAAATCTAGTGCGTTGATCCAGAAATAGTGCTTTGACATGGAATATAAACCATACCTAAGATTTGCAGGGATGATTCCAAAAACTTCTGAGAAATAAGATGGATCAAAGAGCCTCTGGATCACCCATGTTATGAGAAAATCTTTAAGGAAGTCTATATAGCCTTAATGTCTTCAACTCTAAGTTGAAGGTATCAAAAATTATTTCATTGGCTCCTTTCAGGTCTCATTTTCTTGGTTTTGTGGGTTTTTGTTTGTTTCTTTCTTTTTTTGGTTTTGATTTTGTTTTTTTTGGCCTGGAAGTCTGAAGACTGATGTGAGATCAACAAACCAACAAATATCATCTTGAATATGAATTTAAGAAAATAGAGAGATAATAACCATAGTTATCTTATTCACAGCTGTTTCCTTAGAGTTTAACATAATACCTGGCATATAATTGTACTCTGTAAGTATTTGTTGAATAAATGCAAAATGACTAACTCTTCCCATGCTAATGATGGCGAAACATAACTTAAAAGGAGGATATTCAAATTGATGGCTTTCTTTTTTTCTCCTTTTTGGGATAGGAAACTCTTTATTTAAATGAAATAAAACCATTTTTTTTTAAAAAGGAGGTAACAGGAAGAATTCTTTTTTTTTTTTTTTTTTTGGTACTGGGGATTGAACCCATAGGCACTCAACCACCTATTCATATCCCCAGTCTTTTTTATCCTTTATTTTGAGACAGGGTCTCACTAAGTTGCTTAGGACCTCACTAAATTGCTGAGGCTATCCTCGAAAGTTTAATCCTCCTGCCTCAGTCTCCCTTACTGAGATTATAGGTGATACCACTATGCCTAGCAAGGAAGGAGATATCTTAAACAGGGAAAAATGACAAAACAACATCTGGATTATTCAAGGTAGTCCTATAAATGAGCAAGAAAGATATGAGATACTATAGGAATATGGGAAAAGGATAGGAACAGTGCTTAGAATGTCCATGGGGTCTATATAGGGTAGGGCTTAATGTAAGCAAAAAACCCTGAGCTGGTCACTTTAGGCTAACTAGCAGCCTCACCTTTTTACCAAAGTATGCTATCGAAATATTACGTTCTACACAATGTGTGATCTTTTTCTATATATGCAAAAATATAGGAACAATTGGGAAATACTGGGATAGTCAAATTAATAAGAAAATCCAAATAGCTAATAAATTTGAAATCTCGGGTTTGAACATATCAAGTGGAAATGAAACTATAGCATGATAAAATTGATTAGACTTAAGGAAGAATTGCTTCATAGTGAAGGATATGAGATATTAATATAGGTATCTCTGGAAAGTTGCTCTGGGCTTCTTTTCCATGTTTAGAGGTCCCAGGTTGGCTTTTCTGTGTAGGTGCTGAATATTCCTAGGGAGCAGGCCTCGTTCCCAAAATCCCGAAAATGTGAGATACTGGAAACCTTCTAGGACTCTCTAAGTCCACAGGGTAGAAAATCTACTGCCTTAGATCCAGACTGTTGGATGGGTGGACACACAAACAACATGAAAAATCAAGGGAAAAAATCATCCCAAACCAACCAAGATACTCCAATAACAGAATCCACTGATACCACAGTGGAAGAAATATAAGAGAAGGAGTTTATAATGTACATAGTTAAACTGATCTGTGAAGTAAAAGACAGTATAAGGAGTAAAATCAGAGAGAAAATACAGGAACTGAAAGATCACTTCAATAAAGAGATAGATTCTGGGGCTGGGGCTGTAGCTCAGTGGTAGAGCACTGCCTTGTACATGTAAGACATTGGGCTCAATCCTCAGCACTACATAAAATAAATAAATAAATATATTGTGTCCATCTACAACTAAAAAAATATTTTTAAAAAACCCAGAAATCCTCAAAATGAAATGTCTCAGGAAAGCTGGACTAGCTCCTGTGCATGCATTTTAAGACATAATTTATTTCACAGATACAGAATGACTTGAAAGAGCTCATCTTCCCCCAAAGAGTCAGACAAGACAGCTTTATAAGGCATCTTTAGTCCTGGTTTCCCTGTGCCTCAGTTTCCCTGATTGTTAAATGAGTACTGAGGTTACAAGAGACAATATAATCAATCATTGGTCATGGTGATTTAGAGTTAAATTGAAGGTCTCATATACTACTGTCTGGATTTAGAAATAAGAATATGGTCTTAGAGTAGAACTTGGCTCATTCAAAATGACCTTTTATTGACTTTACTGAATAACTTTCATTAAAAGTAATTTATTTACAACTTACTCATTTATAAAATGAAAGTGTTGTTGTACCTTAAATGTTTATAAAGCAATTTCTGCTACCAGCAGTGTGTATATAATATAGATAGATAGATATACATACATATATAGAGAAGAAAGATTCTCTAATAGTGTCTTTATTCTATACTGAATACAGTGTCTCTCATTTTCCCTCCAACAAATACAAGAGTGAGAATTATTTAAGCTCTTCTTGACCCACAGAAAAAGAAAATCATGTGATAATGAGTAAAATGTGCCTCCATGGGTACCAAGAAGAAAGTAGAAGATTCAGAAGAATCCTGTAATACTACAACTTTCCCTAGTGACAGCATATCTACATCTTACAGAATCACAAAAAGTAAGAGCCAATAATCACTTAAATAGCAACTCCAACCTACTCATTATAGAGATGAGTACAAGGTCCAGGGTGAAAAAGACTCTCCTGAGCCTTCCTAACCAATCAGTGACTCAAATGGAACCTTAAATGGGCATCAAAAATTCTCAGTCTGGTATTTTTTTGATAGATCATTTGTTCCTCACAGCATTCAGTTTAGAGGTGACACAATCCAGGGCAAAAATACTGTCTCTGGCTCAACTAGATGCAGCTTTCTCCAACTGTCTTTGACATCTGTGGCTACAGGGACAAAGGGAAAGATTTCAAGACATCAACAAAAGCTCCTAATTAGGTTGGCTATATTGGGCAAATCCTCAAAGTAAGGTTATAGCACTCCATATGGGAAGATGAATACTTCCATTATGTGTTCTGTAAGAAGAGGCCTAGATATTTGGGAGTTGGAAACAGATGATCCTCTAAGACTAAAAGACTCCCATGGGGCCATTACCTGGAAACTCTTAAGAAAATATTCTGCTTCCTAGTCACTCAATCTGTTGATTCCAAAAATAGGAATAACAATTTTTGCTCTGTTTGAAAAATAAATGGCATATAATGTAAATATATGTGAAAAATTATATTTAATTCTTGTTTTAAGCAATACTTATGAAGCATCTACTATGCTCCAGGCATTGATTAGGGGCAATGCATCAGAAATCATGAGATGAAAACCCCTGCACCTCAACAGAATTTACATAATGGTGGGAGATGGACAATAAGCAAAATATATAAGTAAAATATATATCATCCATAGTGTAATTGAGAAAAATTAAAAAGGAAAGGGAGAAAGGCAATACAAGTTTATAGATATAATTGTCAGGAAAATTTCTACAAAAATGTATTACTTGAGTAAAACCTTGAAGAAGACAGGGAAGGCAGCCATGTAGACATCTGGAGGAGGAATATTCAAGGCAGAGGACAATACAGTGCAAGGACTCTGAGTGAGAGAGGAGGAAACTGAAGATCTGAAAAGTTAATGGGTCATCTTTTAAGAACACAGGGATAATTAATAACTAAGGATGTAAAAGCCAGCACTCCCTGTCCCCAGAGTCCTTGTTCTTTCTTCCCTACCTTACTGCCTCATGAAGAGGGGGAAGATAGCCTTTAATCTTCCAAAAAAGGGGTAAGCAAATGTTGAGGTAAAGAAAGTTAATGAAAGTTAAGACCCACAGTCCTTGGCCTTGGTCTTCTCAGAAGAGCCCTGTCCAATATGGTTGCCATCAGTAGTATGTGGTTAAATTTAAGTAAATTACATTTAAATAAAATTGAAAATTATATTTCTCTGTCACACTAGTCACATCTAAAATGTTCAATTGTCAAAAATGGTTGGCTAATAGATACTGTACTGGAGAGGGAATGAAGAATACTTTACCCAGTAGGTAGCATTGATCTAGAGAAACAAGAATGTTGAAAAATGTTGTAGTACTACTGACCTCAAAATGGCCCCAAGGCTGGGGGATAGAAAGTAGGATTTGATCTCTCCTCTAGAAGGAAGGAGACAAAAAGACTTAAAGAAGAATTTTCCCTGCATCAAGTGGAAAGCTATCATTGTGTGTGTTTAGTTCTTTTTCAAAAACATATTACTACAGAGTTGAGACTATAGCTCAGTGATGAAGTGATTGCCTGGAATGGGATATGTCCTGGATCTGATGCCCAGCACATAACTTTTTTTCCCATTTCTCATAACTGTTTAGTAAAATGCCCTTTGACAATGTCAGCTTGCCTCTACTGAGCTCAAAAGAATATGAGCAGAAAAGCTCTCACCTTAGGAGAGGAAGATATAGAAGGGATGGGGTTAGATAATGTATCAAAGTGACATACTGAAGGAACTGAAGTTTGTCCTTCTAGCCTTCATCTTTTATGGATTACTTTCCCCAAATTCTTTTCTGCTCAAACCAATAAATGTTCTCCAAGTGAGGGAGGAGGACCAGTAGCATCAGCCTCACCCTTTATACTTAGAGATGCTTAAGCCTTAACCCAACCATAAAATTGACAACTTAGGTTCCAAGAGTGAGGATGCTGGGATCTGCATGCTTAACAATCTCTCCTGGGGACTCTGGTGCACATTCTAGAATGCCAATTACTAGCTTGGAGGAACATGTGTTTTGATTTAATGAGTAAGGATAGGCCCTACATGAGAGCAGAAGCTGGATCCAAAACAAAGAGGGTAAGGGTAGTGTTATGATTTGGATGCACATGTGTGAAACAATATAAAAATGTTCAGAGAAGAAATGATTGGGTTGTGAATGTCTTTTTTTGGTGGGGGTGGGGGGGCAGTTATCGGGGATTGAACTCAGGGGCACTCAACCACTGAGCCACATCCCCAGCCCAATTTGTATTTTATTTAGAGAGAGAGTCTCACTAAGTTGTAAACCTCGCTTTTGCTGAGGCTGGCTTTGAACTCATGATCCTCCAGTCTCTGCCTCCGGAGCCACTAGGATTACAGGTGTGCAACACTGAAGCCAGCTTTGTTTTGAGAGTCTTAACCCAATCAGTGAGTTAATCCCCTGTTAGGGAGTAAATGAGTGGTAACTGAAATGGTAGGGCGTGGCTTGTGTGGAGATATAATATATATATATATATTATCTGGTAAGTGGAGACCTCTCTTTGCTTCCTTATCACTATGATGTGAGCTGCTGCCCTCTGCCACACTCTTCCATCATGATGTCCTGCCTCACCTAGAACCCTGAGGAATGGAGAAGGCCTTCTATGGACTAAGATCTTTGAAACCATGAGCCTTCAAATAAACTTTTCCTTCTCTATAATTGTGCTGGTCGGATCCTTTAGTCACAATAGAAAAAAAATGCTGACTAAAACAGGTAGAGATTCAAGCTAAGGAAGGAGACAAACATGGGGGAAAATGTAAAGGGGAACAAAGAGAGAGAAGGGGAGGGGAAGGAGAGAAAGTGAATATGGATGCATGAATAACAATGAGAAAAGGAGAGAAACCAAAATCAAGAATCTTAAGGGAGCAGTTTCATACATTTGCCTACACAAGTTGTTTTTACCCCACTGAAAAGCTGTTGATCCCACTAAATAGAATCTGGCAGGCCAATTCATTTGCCCTTTCTAACATCTTGGGACCATCACAGGCAGGCCCATGAGGATTGTCAGTTCTTCATGAAAGTGCCCTCCACCCCCACATGTAACACCATGACTACCTCACAAATGTCCTTGAGGTGCTTGATGTAGTGACGCTCAGTACTCATGATCTCATTGATGACATTGGCCCGCATCTGGTCCCGGTTCTGTAGTGGCCGGCCCAGACAGAGGCAGTCTGAGTTGGGGTCCAGGTGGCCATTCTGCACATCACTGGGCCCTTCCTCCACCCCATCCTCCTGGTTCACCCAGAGCTGTAGAAGCAAGCAGAAAAATAATAATTTATTAACCTCTCTTCTTTGAAGACTTTCAGTCAAGTAGAAAAAGGACAAATTAAAACTTTTAGGAATTCAGAGAGCCTTCAATCAAAGGTCTCTGCAAAGAGAATGTCAGACCTGGCCCTGAGCATGATTCAAATCCCCTCTAGGTCTCTGGTGACCTATCTGTGAAATGGAAGATATGGGCGTGAATAAATGATCTCTGGGTAGCTTCTTGGCCAAGAAGGTCTCAGAAGAGTGGGAAATGGTGGCAAGAAGAACTTTTTTATGCTGAAGCACATCTAGATAACCCGGCAGGATCAAATAAAAGAAAAAAATTAAACTATACATCTTAAGTGCCACAGCTGGATTATTGTCAAAACACAGCATTTAAGTGCCTATGAGTGTGACCATCAAAGTTAGATGCTGAAGTGGGTGTCTCACAAAGAGGGCTTTGGTATGACTTCCATCACAGGGTATACAAATAATAATAAAATTTTAACTGTAAAATTCCTGGGACATGCAAATATTTCTAACCCTTCAAGATCATGATGGGGATGGCATAATATTTCCCAGGGACCTAAAAATAACAGTCACTGATTAAGCACTTAGTATACAACAGGAACTATGCTAAGAACTTTCAGTAAACTTATATTCAGTCTTGCTAAGTAGGTACCATTGTTACTCCCATTTCACAGAAGAGGAAACTGTGGCTAAAAGAAATTAAGGCATGAGTTTGAAGTCACACAGGAAGCAGAGAAGCTGAGATAAAAGCCAGACAATTTGATTCTACAGCCTACCCACTTAACCACTATTCCAGCAAATTTGTGCCTCTGACTCTTAAGGGGGGGCATGAAGAAAGATGGAAAGGGTTTGGGCCAATGTGGGGTGAGAATTATTAGAATAATTAGAACTGGATATAGTTGACACAGATTGAAATTGTCTATTCCAAATCATGAAGTTGGAGGGAAGCTGGAAAAACTTCTTTTGGGAAAGCTGGGTGATTTGGAATAGACTTAGCTTGAATCAAAGAGATGACCTATTTCACCTCAGTCCTAGAAAGGGGGAACGTATGGCGGTAGGGAGAAAAAGATGGCTTGGAACCCTAGGGAGAGTGGTAAAATTTGTCAAGGTTAATTAGATAAGGAGCTTGCCAATTATCTCAACATCATTAATCAACTCTCCATACTTCCCTTCCCTACTCTCCAATTTTTTCCACATCCCTGACTCAAGAAGATCAGATCAAACAATTTAGATTCATCCCCATTTCTGCCATCTGAAAAGCCTGTTAGTATGTGGCTTTAGGATAACAGAGGCTTTAAGATGAAGCTAGAGAAAGAATAGTTACTTCTCAACTCTGAGTATTCTTCCTTCTCAGTTTCTTTTCTAGGAGGCAGGGAGCATTGTTATCTCCCAGGAAAACCTAGAGATGTTATTAGCATATATTCTACTTCCTTGCTACAGGCCAAAGCAAGTAGTGATCACTCTGTTTTAATACATTTTCCATAGTCAAGTGTACAAAATTTATCTAACCCCAAATCTATCACCTTCCTTAAATTCTCTATTGGAAATCTCTTCCAAAAGGTCTGTTTTGTGCCTTCAATATGCTAATAGCTACCCTGTAATATAATTGAGAGACAATATGAGAGATGATTATTCAAAGGTTGAGAACTGCTGAAAAGGTAATTCCAAGGCACTCACAGTAAACACCTCATATGCATGATGTTGCTATTTATAATAATGAAAACATCACTCACAAGCAATTTATTAGCTTGCTCTACTTCTCAGACTGAGCTAAGCCCTGTTATACAAAAGGTACCACTGGGAGGCCTTTAAAATATAAGAATCATTTATTTTCTTCTCTGGAGTTTAAGACAAATTCAAGTCAAAACATTGGTTTTTGGATGACTGAAATAAGATGGAATATTTAGAATAGTTCCAGTGGGAAGGAATACAGAATATGAGGCCAGAAAACTAAAAAGTGAGGAAGGCAACTTCATTCCAACAACCCCAGAAGCCCATTCCTTAGGTTAAGACACTGCTTTCATCCAAAATAACTATCAGTATATTCATTAATTTATTCAAGAAATCTATGTCAATGCCTATCATAGGTCAGATATTGGGGATAGAGCAGCAAACAAAATAAACAAAGCTTTCCCTTTGTGGATCTTAACTTTGGAGAGACAATGTTTCCTAGCCTAGAAAAAGGTGCCATGCAAGGCACAAAATATTGTGTTCCTGAACTCAGGGTCATAGAAAAGATCCTCTAGGCCTTATGATATGACATTTTGGCCTATCCCCTAAGTCTCTGGTCTTGAGAGTTTCCCTATTCTGGGCAGATGAAGGCCCTAGTCCACTTGCATGTCAGAGTGCAGAGAAACAGGTGAGCCTTTAAGTTTCTCTTCCCTGGGTGGAATTTCAGCCCAGAATGCCATTATCAACCTGCACAATGGCCTGTGTAGGTTAATGTGTACCTTTCTACAAGTGTTATTCACTGATGCTGCAATTAAAACCCATAGGCTGCTGGATTATTAGTTAGAAGAAGGGCAATGTCCCAAAACTGCCAGGTTGGAAAACTTTTCCAGAAACCCTCTCAGAGTACTTAAAGGCTGGTTTCCTCAGCCTTAATTGAACACCAAAGTAGACTGGAGTAGTGTAGTTCAATGTAACAAATAATTACATGGGACCATTTCTGTGCCTAACTAACATTAACTGTGAGTGAGACATAGGTGAGCAAGACAACCAACACCTTCATCTTCTTTCAAAACCAAGGTGTGCTTTCCAAATCAGAGACAATCTCTGGTCTCTCATTTTTCCATTGCAACTGGTATTGCCTTCATCTCTATATCTGCATAAGTTTCACATGTCACTATCAAACCAATTTCTTTTTTTTATTGGTTGTTCACAAYATTACAAAGCTCTTGACATATCATATTTCCTACATTATATTGAAGTGGGTTATGAACTCCCAATTTTACCCCAAATGCAGATTGCAGAATCACGTTGGTTACACATCCATAATTTTACATAATGCCCTATTAGTAATTGTTGTATTTCTTTGACTTTCACTTTGATTAACTATCTCATGCCCCAAAATTTTCATTGGCTTCCCACTGATTATGAAGCAAATCCAAATCTTTCTTTTTGACATTCAAATCTTACTATAACCTGACTCCAATCTCTATTTCCACCTTTACCTCCTACTACTCCCTTTAGGAATGTTGGGCTCCTCTCAGACTGATTTGTTCTCAAATATTCCAATTTATATTCTTTAATACAATGCTGGAACAAAAAAATGATATAGTTCGGAGGCTTTCCATTACTTCAGTAACAATGACTCAACCTTTCAACTTACTGATAATTAAACTGAGGCCCACAGATTTCCATGGAGTTAGCAATATACCCACAATTTTCTACAAAAATTTATTGGTGCATCATAATCATATATAATAGTGGAATACACTGACACACTCATATCATCAATGTGCCCATTTATTTACATCTTCTATTTTTCTTTCTTTTCTTTGTATTATTATTATCATCATCATCATCATCATCATCATCTTTGCATCAGAGACTGAACCCAGGGGTGCTTAACCACTAAGCCACATCCCCGGCCCTACCTCCCTTTTCTTGAGACAGGGTCACACTAAGTTGCTTAGGACCTTGCTAAATTGCTGAGGCTGGCTTTCAACTTGTCATCCTTCTGCCTCAGCTTCCATAGTTTTGGAATTATAGTTGTGCGCTGCTACACCCAGCTTGCATCTTCTATTTTTGGTTTTATTTTTAAATTATACAGTTTATACAGGAACATATTTGCCTTGTAAAATGTTGAAATAGAGAAAAAGGAAGAAGACTCAATTGATTATAATCTGAGATGAGAGAAGAAATATCACTATCATTCCTACATAAGGATTAAATGGGCATACTATGAACAATGGTATGCTAAGAAATTAGTTAAAATGATGAAATGAACAAGATCCTAGAAAGACATAAATTACTGAAAAATGACTCAAGAAGAAATAGAAATTTGCACAGGACAATAAAAAGTAAAGACTTTGAATGAATGAGAAAATCTCCAATATGAGGGAAAAAACATGATACAGAATCACAGACGGCTTCACTCATGAACTCTACTAAACATTTAAAAAACAATTAACAATAATCTTTCACAGATTCCTCTGAAAATTAAACATAGAACTCCTCAACAGAATACTAGCAACCTAAACCAAGCAACATAAAAAAAAATTCCATCTTACCAGACAGAATTGATCTTAGAAATGCAAGATTGATTGAACATATGAAAATCAATGTAATAATGAAATAAAGGTTACAAAACACCACATAATAGTCTCAGTAGACACAGAAAAAGGACTTTAAAAAATTCAGCACTCATTTATAATAAAAAAGACAGAAAATAGTGTTTTGAGGGAACTTCCTCAAAATGATAATAGACATTTATGAAAAACCATAAATCATTCCTAATGGTGAAAGAATGAATGCTTTCATTGTATACAATCAAGAACAAGACAAGGATATCTGCTTTCATCACTTCTATTCAACCTTGTACTGGGGGTTCTAGCCAATAAAACTGGACAGGAAAAGTAAAGAAAAGGCTTTCAAGATTGGGCAGAAAGCAAGACTTCTTTAAAATGCAAGAAGTAAAATCAAGAATCAATAAATGGGGGCTGGAGTTGTTGCTAAGTGGCAAAGTGCTTGCCTAGGACATTCAATCTTCAGCACAACATAATAATAAATAAATAAATAAAATGAAGGTATTGTGTCCATATACAACTAAAAATATTTTTAAAAAGAATCAATAAATGGGATGGATTCTAACTAAAAAAAAAAAACCTTCAGCAAAGGAAGTATTCAATAAGGTGAAAAAAGAGCCTATAGAATGGGAGAAAATCTTTACCACATGCACCTTTAATTGGGCATTAATCTCTAGGAACTCAAAAAACTTAACACCAAAAACAAAACCAAAACAAATATCA